ACAGATAGCACCATGAGTAGACCTATCCTTCTGACCCAACAGACATTAGATGTTGGGGGTGGAGGGTGGGGGGTTGAGTTCCAATTTGGAGTTGATCCAGGGAGAGAGGCTGTGTTTCTGCAGCCTCTGCTTCTAGCTCTGCCCCTCCCTCCAGCCCCCTGATGCTGTCTCAGGATGGGAGGGGGAAAAGTGGGGAGAGGGGGACTCCAATGCTGGCTGGGCAACCCCTAGAATGAGCTACCACTGCTCCCTCTCCTCACTTCTGAAAACCTTCTCTCTCTCTCTCTCTCACACACACACACCCTTCCCCCTCCCCCAGGAGCAGACACAAGTTAATGAAGGTGTTCAGCTTTGGAGCTCCTTCATCTGAACCCTCATATAAATCCTTATGTAATGAAAATTCAGACTGTTGCAGGATCGGGCCCTTTTAAATGGCTCTGCAGCCATGTACTTGTGTTGGGTCACAGCTGTACGGTGCTTTCAGGGGCCAGAGTTGTCACGTCTGTCTGCTCCTGTTGTTATCCAAGTTATCAATCTCAGGATTTGGAGGAGCATGACTATGATTTTAAAAGTTAACAATGACATTTTAAAGGAGTCACCTTTTTACATTATAGGCTTGCCAGAATCCCAGTGAAGACAGGGTTCTCATGTGTCTATAATGATCTGTTATACCTAAGATTTAAGAGATATTCCACTGTCCTCCTCAACTCTGATCTGGATTGATTTTGATAATTAAAAATAGTTTTCATGACATTATAAGGTAATATTTTAAGTCTACTGAATCAATATTAGTGGTTTTTAAGGAGAAAGTATTGAAAAGGACAATTTAAGGTCTTTCATATATTAATCAGTTTCTAATCACTGTGGTATTTGATAAATAAAATAAGATTTTGATATGTAATGCCAGGTTTGAGTGAAGGCACTGCTATTAGAAGAGAGGAAGTGCAAGTGTGGGAGAAGAGGGACTGAGACAGGATGATTAGCTGTGGTTGTAAGGCTATTTTTTTTTAAATGGCAGACCCTGACCCTTGCATTTCAATTTGACATAGCTTCTATATGAACTCCTGGAGGTTGGAAGACCTTGAAGGCAGGAATTGTTTTTGTTTGTTGTTCATCCTGACCTTCAGGGCACATTGTAAGGCATATTTGTTGATTTAGACCTTTGCCTGAATGGGACAAGTGAAAAACATGGTGTTTTTGCAATAGGAGTCCCTGTGATCAATGAGGGGTGGGGGGGTTGTTTTGGTAAAAGAAGTGTATTTTATAAAAACAGCTAAGAGAAGTGCATCAGTGGAGGACATTCACATTGACATGTAACCCGTGATATCACTTAGAACCAACCCAGGGTGGAAAAATTTAATTTTGTTCCTAAGGTATCGTGTTCTCATTTCACTTCTCTAAGAACCAAATGCTCTGAAAAGCATATTGCACACAGAACTCATGGATGTACACATGCAACTGGATGAGTGATGGATGTCTGATGAAACTAGACATGTGTGATGGATCAAGGGATGTATGTATGTCTCATCCTAGATCAGTGGTTCCCAACCTTTTTTTGTACCAGGACGCATTTGTAAACATCAACGGCCAGTCCTGACACAGTGCCCCTCACTCCTGACCCACTGCTCCTTGCCCACAACCCCCCAGTGTGTGAGGCAAGGGAAGGTGTGGGGGTGGGGGGGGCAAGCAGCCCCTCACTGGCTGGAACTCTGCTACCCTGCAAGGGAAAACTCACGTTTCCCATGTTTTTCTTCTTAAAGGAGAATCCATTTTTAAAGTCTGTTTGCGACCCTTTCATATATTCTTGACTCACCTTTGGGTTCAGACCCACAGGTTGAGAAACACAGCCCGAGACCATACAGTAAAAGGGGAATGCAATTGGGGAAACCTCATTAAAACCCATAAATAAAAGGGACAAGTCACTTCACAGGACAAACCAACATGTCCCTGCAGGGGCTGAATGATGCCAGAGGAAGTCAGTGTCCAGCTGCACAGCCGCCTCAGTAAGGGGAGCCCACATAAGAACTTCCATTTCCTGGGTCAAACCATAAGCCCCCTCTTTTAATAAGAGAGGCCACAAAGGGCCGGACACCTTGCCGAGTCTCTTGTGCCACACAGGAGCAGATAGATACCAAGTGGCAGGACACCTTCAGTAGGGTCAAGCCTATACTCCATCCCTGTACTCCACGCTGATCCTGCAAGCAATCTGGGACCTCAGCTGGTGGCTTCTCCAAAGCTGTTTCCACTGGTGCGTATCAGGTGTGCTTCAGATTTCTGCAACACTTGCCCCTTTTGTGAGCAGAGGGAGACCCTGACACACGCCTGTCTCGAGTGTGGCAGGCTGCAGCCCCTTCATCATCTCCTCCAGAGCCTCCAGCTGAGGTTCTAGCTGCACTAATCCCTGCATCTTTTTGTTTACATGCTTTTCATCCCTGGCCCCACCAAGTCCCAGGACCTCTTGGTCAACATCCTCCTGCCCCTAGCCAAGCTAGCCATCAACCTAACCAGCAGTGCCACATCTAGATTCCTGGCAGCCCCAAGTAAACTTTTAGCATCAGGCCCCCCTTCGCCAGAGATGCTGATAATAATCAGACTTGTTGAAAAAGTCTTTATCACATCTGTGGTATTGATGTCTTTCAATAGCTCATTCTCAATTGATAACATTGCCAGTTCCATATACATGCAATATTAAAACCTTTTTTTTGGAATTGCAATTTTTTTTTCCATTTTCAGGCCCCCTTCGTGTCTGGGCCCTGGGGCGGCTGCTCTGTTTGCCCATGCCTGTGTCCATGTCTGCTAACCAGGAAGAAGGCCTTGTCCCCCAGTGACTGCAAGGCCACTTCCCTATCCCTTATCCTCTCACATCTTTGGGCGGTTTGACTGGGCAGTACCCACCGGCTCCTTGGGTGGGTCAGAGGCCCAGTGGACGACCTACGTGGTCAGTGTTTCCCCTGCCAGGCAAGCACAGGCTACACTTGATCTGAGCCCCCTGATCAGAAATAAAGAAAATAAAGAAATGACACTGGGGAACTTTTAAGGACATTTGTTTGCTGCCAGCACTTCCTGACCACCGCTGGCCTCGAAATCAAGAAATGCTTCAACTTTGACCGCCCAGTTCTCCATTGCTCCCTGCTAAATTAGGGAGGAAGATAAAGAAGATTCTCAGCATATTTGTTTGCACTTCACGATCGTTTTGCAGCGACCAGCCGGAGCGTCCACGAGGCGGTCTCGCATTCCAGCCCCAGCCCTGCCCCAGCGGCCCCCCGCCGAGACTGAACCCCACGCCTGCTGCAAAGTCTACGGCTCTCGACGAAAGCCACGCCCCCGGCCGCCGGGACCCACGTGCGGGGCGGGGCGGGGCGGCGTGACGTACCCGCGATAGGTGGGGCGGGGCGGGGCTGCGGCTCTCGCGAGAGCGCGCGAGGTTTCCGGTGTTGTGACTGCGGGCCGTAAACATGGCGGTGAGTCTCCGCGCCCGCTCGCTCCGGCACCTCCGCATCCGAGGTAAGCGCCGGCCCGACCCGGCCCGGCCCGGTCCAGCCCGGCCCGGGGGGCGAACGCCGCCTCCGCCCCGCCTGACCCTGTTGTTTCTCTCCCCGCAGGGCGCAACGACAGCGGCGAGGAGAACGTCCCGCTCGATCTCAGCCGAGGTACCGGGGCCGGCGCGCGGGAGCCCCTCCCCTCCCCGGGGCCCGGCCCGGCCCTCCCCTCCCCTCCCCTCTCCTGCGGCGCTAACGGGAAGGGCCCGCACCCGCTCCCGGCTGCAGGTCGCCCGGGTCACACCCCGATGGGTCCTTTCCCTGTCGCTCCGCTCCCCTGGGACGCGGGAGGCTGGTACTCGGCAAGGTCCCTCCCGACGCGTGGAGGTGGCCGGGGTGGCGTGGGTGCCTGCGGGCCTTCCCTCTGCGCAGCACAGCACAGTCGACTGAGCCCTTCGCTGTGCACAGTCGCAGCCTCCAGGGCGTAACCCTCGCCTCAGCAAGGGTGGGGTGGGGGGAATGTAGGGGCTTTCTCTGTGACGGTTAAAAAATAAATTGGCTCCGAGAGCACAAAGGTAACTTTCCTTTTTTTTTTTACGTATGTACATGCATTTGAGCCCTGTGGGTTTCGTTTGCTGCTGCAGGTCAAGAACTTGAGGCTGTTTCAGCCTCTGTGGTTGCAAGGAGTTGAGTGTTTTGCTTCAGAAGATCCAGCGGTGTCACCACCCTGGATGCACACGGCTTATCAAAAATCCGAGGGGGTGAAGGGATGGAAGCAAAGGGACTAAATAGGCCCAGCAGTGTAATGGAAGTAGGGTGCTAGTTGGGAATAACTTAAGGCAGCAGTTCCCAAACTCTGAAGTTTACACACCACCAATTTAAAACAATAAAACCTTAAGTAGCACCAGCAGATTTTTCTCATATAAAGTAATTATAATAAATCTGTTAATGTGTACCACTGACAGGTTGTCTGCATAGTGCTGGTGGCACCTGTACTACAGATTGGGAACCACTGACTTAAGGGATCTGTATGGCTTTCAGTTAAGTGTCATTGTGACAGAGCAGCACCAGAATGTTTTCTAGTATGAGCCCTGTTATGAGTGCTTTATTGTAAAGCCAGTTCTGTTTATCTTCAGGGTTTTGACCTTTCTATTTGAGGAAATGCTTAATTTTAAACTCTAGCTATTAATACATCATATAGATGGGTTTCTAAAACTGAACTGGTGAGAATTTTGCCAGCAGATGAGCTGCTGAGTCCCCTACCCTGCAAACATGCATGTGAATGGTGCAACTGCAATACTTGGGTTTCCTTGTCATAAGAGAGAATATGTGTACAAGCTTGTAGAATTGGGCATTTATGATTTCCCATCTATGCCCAATAATTTCTTGTAACTGCATAGTTTTCTGTTTATTTAGGCATCTACTACAGATTATCTTTAAAACCCTATTTTTCTGTCATCATAAACCTTGTATAAGTTTTGAAATACTCTACTCACAACCCAAAATGAGGTTGCCATTTTCTGAGAATGGTGAAACCTTAAACGTTAATACCCCAATTCGGAGAAAACAGTAGTGGAAGTGACACCTGTTTCTTTCATATTGATTGATAACTTTGTATCACATCTATAAGTCTTTTTAAAATTAGAGATCATATTTGGCAATGCTCTGAGTCTGCTACTTCAGTTTTGGGTGCTGCTGAATAGAGAAGTTACTTGGCTATGTGTGAATTTAGATACCCGTTTTTAATGTAGCATAATAGAAAAAAGATGCCGTGTGCTCTGGTAATTTTAAATGGGCAGATACTTTGCTGTAAGCCCCCAGTTAGAGCTGCATATGGGACCTCTTTGAATTTCATTTGTACTCCCTGCCAAAGGCATGTAGTTTTGAAATAAGGATCAGGTATTAATGTAATTTACTCGGACAGGGTGGGCAACCTGCATCCAGTAGGCCACATCTGGTCCATGGAAGTACTTGATCTGACCAGAGGACATGGTGCTTCAGTGGCATTTGATGGCAGGGAGCTGCTATGGGGAAAAGCATCCAGGGTAGGCTCACTCAGTGTGCCACTTTGGAGAAAAGCAGTGGCAATTACTGGGTCCTAGTGCCCACTCACATGCCTGTGTCTATCAGAAACTGGGTCACTTTTGCCTGTCTCCTGAAAAGACTGCTGACCTCTGTTTTAGAATGTCTTCATGTTAGAAACATGCACTAAGCCTAATGTTCCTCCAAGACATGTACTATTCCCAGTTTATAGAAGAGAAAACCAAGGCACCAAGAAGCAAATTAAGTGTGCCCCAGCAAGACATCACAGCTAGTTATGTAACTTGAAATAGACATCATTACATACAATATGAATGTTCATTTTCTTCCTCCATTTACATAGCAGCAATTTTATACATAATTAATGTAATAATATTTTAATCGGAGAAGAATCTGTATACTTTGTTATAAAACATAGTTTTAATCTGTCTTATCTATTTATCATATTGCATTGCATATATGCCATAGTTGCTACAAAACATTTTAATAATTTGATAGACTCTTTTAAATGAAGCTTTGTTTTTCAGAGAACTAAATCTGAAAGCCCCTGAAATAAAGTATCTGATAAATTAGTACATTCAGGTCTATTTACCTCTGTTTATGAGCATCTCTTATTCCATGTATATATATATGTATATATGTGAATAATAACTTGTTCTAAGTACATTTTAATTGAGCATTGACTTGACCAAAATGACAGGCAAACATGTGGCAAGGACTTGGTTAGCATATGTACATTTTAGCTGTACATGGTTGTCTTTCTGTAGCTAGATCTGAAATAGTGCTAATAATTCAAACAGGCTCAGACTGTTTTGTATCATTTTGGCATGTTTTTCTTCCTTCCAGTTGCCTTTTGTAGCAAGATATCATAAAGTTCATTGTTTTACATGAAGCTGATATATCTTTTCTATGTATATTCTCTGGGCACTTTCCGCTGCTGAACCAGGATGAGAAACCCACACACATTTTTCCAGAATGCACTGGGAGTATACTACCTAGTATAGTTGGGTACCAATCTGGTGGGAGCCCTTCCTAGTATTGTGTTAGAAACAAATTGTAATAGTGTAATGCGAACAGCTATTTTACAGAGCCTTTTGCAAAAGTCCCCTTACTATGTAAATTACTGTCTTTCTTTTTTTTAATGGCCAGACCTCAGGTAGATGGCTAACTAAGTCCCTTACTTCAAGCCTGCTCCGCCCACACCCTTCTTATTCTCCTTAGAGAGCCATTGTCTGTTATTTCTGTGGTAATGTACTGCCTGCCTCAGAGAATCAGCAAAATCCCCTTAACTTTTTCCTAGTAAAATGAACGCTTGCTAAAAGGGCTGAGTGTTTAAGGGAAAACAATTCCCCGATGTTAAATACTGATATGAATGTGTTTAGACAGCAACATAAGCATTGAGATAGTGGACATAAATTGAACGTGTTACTTAGAACCAGTTAAGGTGATCATACCTCCAATCAGTTACAAATCCGTCATCCTAATATTAATAGGCTTTAACCATTTTTTTATATTGCCTCCTCAAAAAGACACGAGACAGGAACAATAGACAAGATTCATCTTTAGTCTAACTCTTACTGGATTCATTGTGAAGGAGCTAATAACATTGTAATTGGTACTGGTTTACTGTAGGCTGTGCGGCTTCTAAAGCAGTTTAGGTGTTTCTTTGCCCTTCTGGTTAAAGGCAGGGCTTCAGGTTTTTTATACTTCAGCATAGTATTTATTATACAAGATAAAACTTCAAGTGGTTTCCAGGCTACTACATGGATAGAATTTAGTAAGAATTTATAGAATTGTAATCATTTATGGAATCATCCAGACTCATTTCCTGTTCATGGCAGGAACATTTCTCTCTAAACTATTCCAGCCATTTAATCTGCACTTGAAAATTTTCAGGGTGTGTCCATACATGTGCTTTAATGTGCATTAGCCTATTTTAACGTGCATTAAAACATCACCAAAAAAAATGCACTTTTGCTAATGCTTGTTAAAATAGGCTAATATGCCTTTTTCTGGTACCTCACGCTGGAGATATGTACTAAATTTAATGGGCATTGCCAAAAGCACGTTAATGAACATGTAGATGTGCCATCAGTGATGGAGATTCCATAGTCTTTCCAGATAATCTGTTCCGGTGCTAAATTACCCAAGTAATTAAAGTGTGGTTAAATTTTACCTAATGCACCTTTTTCCATTTTAAACTCATTTCCGTGTGTACAGGGGACACAACAAACAGAATAGTTGATCATCATCCTCCTTAGAACATCCTTCTTTGTATCCTGACTCTTATAAATACCTGAAAAGACATGCTTTTCTTCTGCCTCAATAATCTGTTTAATTTCCATTCTTCTAACCTTTCCTTATGTTTGTGTTTTCTACATGTTAGATGTTATTTGTTGCAATCCGTGGACACTTGTCAATTTGGTGGCAACTTTCTTGAGGTGTGATGTTCCAAACTGTGCACAGCACCCCTGGTAGGGCCTCACTAATACTGAATAGAGTGGAAGAACTGCATTGCAACTTCCATGGGATGTGCTAATGCATCTCAGTAGTCTGTTAGCTGTTTCTGCAATGATACTGTACCACTGACTCATATTCAACTTGTAGCCCACTAAACCACCCAGGTCTCATTCTGCAGTATTAGAGTCTAGCTAGTCATTTGTCACTTCATATTTCTGTATTTAACTGTTGAATTTCATCCAGTTTATAATAGACCACTTTTCCAAGTATTCAAGGTTATTTTGGATCCTAAACCTGTCATCCAAAGCCCTACCCTGCTTGGTCTCATCTGCAGGTTTAGGAAAAGTACATTTAATTCCATCCTTCAAAGTGTTAATGAAGATGGAACCCTTCTTGGAAGAGGAGGCCAAAGAAAAGCTGGCACCATTAAGGTGACTGCAAAAGTCGGTTAAGATATACTTTGAAGCCAATTTATTTGCATTAGGCCTAGTCTACAATAGTTTTTGTATTGGAATGTAAGATTATGGCTGGATCACCATATGTTATATGTGGTAAAACTTAGAATTTTAAGTCCAGGAGAGAGGCCATTGTAATAATTTAGCTTAACGTCTTGCATAATGCAAGTAATAGAACTGTGGTCAGTTAATTTCTGCTTTAGGTTTAGTGGCTGT